TGGATTCAGTCAGGTTTAAAGGATCACAACAACCAGCACTGAGTCCAAGGAGGGGCACTCACTGCCTCCGTCTTCCAGGAATGCCCCTTCCACTTCCGTTCTGAATCCACACTCACAAGCTGGGTTTAATCCTGGAAAATTCCTCTGAGTTCCTGCGACAACATCAGTCCCCCAAATTACTCCAAAAGATCCCTGTCAACGCCCAGGGCAATCCAAACGGAGTCACAAACCCACCTAACAATGGGACAAACAGGTTCAGTTCAAAAGGAAAGAAGACAGGGTCAGGTAAACCTGAACTTGTGTGTGGCTCCCCAAACGGTCAAGCCCTTGTAGCTGATTATTCTGCTGGCAGGAAAACCTATCCTATGGGCCCCTAGTCCATAAGTCTCTCGTGATAGGGCAAGCAAGCTAAGTCTTCTTAAAAGAATAAATAACCTTTAGGAGCAATCGAAATGTGCTCTAGGTGAAATGCCAGCCACCTGTAATTTGGGAATGCAGAATCCACGCTGCTCATATTGGCAGCAACGTGTGATAAGTTTCTGGGTAATCTTGACCAAGTGAGTGCAATAGTGCAACAGATGTGGAGACCTAAGCATTCATACAAACCTAAGGGAACTGGTCTGGCTTGTGAAATGCACCAGGGAACACCATCCAATGGCAGTGTCAAAACAGAACAAAATGCTGATTTTTCTCAAATGCATCCCTGCAAACCAGGACATCTAGGAATGGGAGTTCTGGGTAGAGACTCCCTCCACATTGTCACACACTATTCTGAGAGCACCCCAATATATTCCAGATAAAGTCCCCAAGTGGAGCCCTCCTCTCTAGAGACAGGCCCCAAACCTTTGTAATGTTTTACAAAGAAGTTGGCCTGCTGAGCTGACTTTCCATTTCACAAGGGGATCGAATATTTGCTGGCTAAGGCAGTTTCTGGGTCATCTGGGCTCCTCACTGTGGCAACTGTTTTTCATCGGCCAATGTTCTGCAAGAAGTGGTGATCATCATGGTCAGTCAATACCTTTGCCTTTTTTCATTTCTCATTTTTCATCATTGATGGCTCAGGTCAGATTGACATATAGGGACTGGTTGAAGGAAGTTGCAAAGCTGACCTGATGTAGAGCAGGCTGCCGAGAAGATGGTGGGATCCCCTCCGTCCTCAGGAGTCTTCGAGGAAAGGCTGGACAGTCATTTGTTGGTGTGATGGGTGGGATTCCTTTATGTATGAGTTGGCCTAGATGGGCACTGAGGAGGTCATTTGGAGACGCTGTCATAATGGCACTGTCTTCCCAGCTTTGCCATTCTTCCAATCTGATGATGACTTTGACTTTTGCTCTAACTACTGGGGAGTCTTCCCTCTGTGACAATTCTTATATCAATAAGCTTATATTTCCTTTGTTACTATATAGTCAGACTCAATTTCCCTGATGTTCAGCACCTTCTTTCCAACTCTCTCCTTAAAGAAAATATTTGCCTTCTATTCTGTACAGTAGATAAATGCAGAGCTTCTGAGTGGTCTTCTGTTTTTTATACCATTTTTGTTGTGTGACCCTGGACTAGTCACTTAACACCCCTGAGGTGCAGTTTCTCAGCTGTAAAATGGAGATAATAACATACCTTTCTTCCAGGGTGGAGAAGGTGTTTCAAAAGTGCTTTGGGAACCTTAAAGCCAGCTGTGGGTCAGCTATTATGATTGTCTTTGCAGTTGGCTGTTTCTTTAGAAAGGTTCTCCTCATTACTGAGAGAAGCCCAGAAATACCATCACCTTTCCAGGGGATTTGGTTAATCCTCCAAACAAGATGTCTCTCTTCTGCTAAGATTGCTGCCTGACCTGGGCCAGCCTCCACGGTCTTTCTCATTTACTTGACAGTTAGGGTGTTGGACCTTGCTTTCTTTCCTGCTCTCTCCCCTGACTTTTTGGCAGCATGGAGAGCTTAAAAATAGCAGTCCTCCGTCAATACCTGTCAGAGCCTGCCTGCCTTTCTGGGAAGCAGCCCTAACTGATGTTTGGGAGTGACACCCTCCTCAGTGCTGGCATGGAGCTAGCAGGGTTGTGCTTGGAGCTTGTGAAGAGGATTGCCCAACAGCCGGCCGGACGGGGCCCCATCTGGAGGGGGAAAGAGCAGGACAGCACAAAGGGGAAGCACCCTTGACAAGAGCTGATGGCTGTGACGTTCTCCTGCTGCTCTGAGCACATTCTAACAAGTCCTTTAAATTAGCAAGGAATTGGCGGATGCCCTGAAAATCATGTTTCCTCCAGAGGAGGTTGGTGGCTTGCAGCAAAGGTGGCCAGCCTGAATGCACTCTACACATGGTTGGCAAAGGTGGGAAGGCCCTGCTCGGAGCTGGCCTCAGCTTGTGGGCCTGGGATCCCCAGCTGCTCTCAATGGATGCCCGATTTTATGGCTTGGTGCTTGTGAGCAGCCCACCCGTGGAACCCCAGCCAGACCAGGGGTGTGCGTATCCTTGGGCCCGATGGCTCAGTGGCAGATGCCTGCACGTGCTGTACATGGTGAGGCCCAAAGGGCTTCCTTGGCACTTGTCAAGGACATTCCCTCTTCTGGATCCTGAGGGCCCACCATCTTTGGGAAGAGGTGCTGCTAAATGCAGGTTTGAGCTTAGTGTGGATTATGGATCAGATGGGCCTGCACAAAGAGCCTGGGGCTGTGGAGATGAGCTGCCAGATGGAGTGTTGGGGGTTCAGGTCTCCTCCTGGGCAGCTCTACACCCGGCTCCGGGCCTGGGTGCCCAGGACCCAGGGGATTTTCCAAGATGCTTTCTACAGTTGGCCACATCTCTGCAGCCCCATGTATGATGGGCAAGGCCTAGACAAACAGGACATCTCCCAGGGCTGGGCCTGTTAATGCTGAAGCATTAACCTCCAGACAGCTGCAGGTCACCAGGGAGATAACTTTGTGGACCCCCCCCCCCACTGGCCAGATTAAGGGAGGCACCAAGGAGAGCTGGGCCCTCACGCCAGTGTTTGGGAACATCTGCCTTGTCCTATGGATGCTCAGGTCCTTATAGGGTCAGATGGCCTGTTTGGAAGTGGCCTCAGAGAGTGGCTCGTCAACCCATTCTCCCCTGAAGGATTCCTTCTAACGCGGTCGTCACCCAGCTTTGGCATAGAGGATAGGAATGGGTTTCAATGCTGTCTTTGAGACCGACTTTCTGTGGGACTCTGGGTAAATCTCTTCATGTCTCTGAGCCTCAGTTTCCATGTTCTTTCAGTCCCTTCCAGCTTCAATACATATGTCGAGGGGGGAGCCAGCCATCTCCTGAAGCAGTCCATTTCCCCCGTGACATGCCAAAGGATTAAGAAATTGTTCCTGACCCTGAGCCTAACATGACCTCTTGGCACGGTCCCTCCACTCCTGCCTCTGCCTTCTTGGGCTGAACAGACTAAGCCCAATCCCTCCTTCACCATCCTGTTTGCATGTTGTCTCCCTCCTTCCAGGGCAGGCACTGTCTTTGACTTTTTTGTATCCCTTGCACTTGGCACTGGGCCTGGCACAGGGAAGGCACTTATATGTTTATTGACATGATACCCCTGGATCCTCTCTCTGGCAATGTCCTTAAACAGTGGCCCTCAGAACAGAGCCCAACGCACTGGATGGGGTGACAGATAGAATGCTTCCTCCCTGCGGGGGCTGCCTCGCCCACCTTCTAGTTGGCATTGATGGGGAGGACAGTGTGGCTTTCCTTTCCTCAGTCCCTGAGTCTGGGTGCCAGATGGGTACCATCTGGGTGCCAAGATGCAGGGTACCACCTGGGCCAGCAGTTATTCCAAAGCTTGTTCCCTGGTTTGCCCCTGCTCCCTTCTTTCACATCCTGGCCCTCCCCTCTCCCTCTATCCTGACTCTACCTACCCTCTGCCTCCTGTCTCCCCCTGCTCCCAGCTCGGTCCCCCCTTCTCCTGCTGCTTGCCCTGAGCTCCCTTCTCGCCTCACTTCATCTTTTCCTCTCCTTCCTTTCAGCTTCTCCTCCAGCCCTTTCCTCTCTGACACCTTAGCCTGGTCTCTGGGTCCTGTTCCTTTACTTTCCCTTCCTCCATCACCCTTACTATCTCTCCCATCACCTACCTAGAGCCTTTTCTCTCTCCCCTGTAGTTGAGGGAAACTGCCCTGCCATGCATCCCAGGGCCAGTCAGGAATAGACCCTGTGCCTACCCAAAGCACAGAAGGCCAGGACAGACTTTGGGCAGCTGGCAGGGCCTCGGAGCTCTGTCTCCCCCCTTTCCTTAACTACTAGAAGCTTCTGACTTTTGGAATTCCCATAAGCCCAGAATTTCCTCCCTGGAAAGGATGCCCAGGCTAGTTCCTTCAATACATACCCCCAAAGACTCACTACTAAGGACGTCTCAATCTAGGGGCAGCCCAGCCCAGCCTGGCTCAGCCTGGCTCTGCACACTTTTTGTTCCCATCGTGGGGAAGGTTTTCCTGACATCCAGCCTAAATCTGCCCCTGCATATTTGACTGAAGAAACTAAAGGAAAAGGCCTGGGGAGGAAGGCAGAGAACACTTGCTGAGCCTCGGTGGCCTTTCTCTCAGGGATTCAGGGGGATGGGGCCATGTGCTTCTGGGGCAGGCAGGTCCCAACTACTGGGTCACTAAACTGGAAAACCGTGGAAACCTGGACCAAGGAAGGGCCCCCAGAGCCTGCCAATCCCGCCTGGGCCACCGACCTTCCCTGTCTTTTATCCCTTTCATTCTCCAGAACCCCTTCAAGTGCTCCCTTCCTATCCTCCCGGCCCCATCGTCTCTCTGGGACTTGGGTGCCGGTCACTCCAGCCCCACAGCTGGGTCAGTCGGGGTGGAGAAGGTGGGGGGGGACACTCTAGCTCCCAAGCTCTTCCCCACCCCTCCACATAGGGCTGAACGAAGTGGGGGGCCAGGCAGGGGGAGAGGGGCGCGAGCACCCTCTGCCCCACTTCTCTTCCTCCCCCAGGCAGCAGCCTCTGTCCCGGAGGAGGAGAGTGAAAGTGAAAGAAAAACTACAGTTGGGGCAAAGAGATAGAGAGCCCGGGTGGCAGAGGGCGGGAGTGGGGTGCTGCGGCCCCGGCCCCGGACCCGGAGAGACAGACCGACCAGACTGTTAGACAGACCAGAAGCTCCCGGAGCCCATGGGCGCCTCGGGCCTGCGCGCCCTGCTTCTCTTCTGCTGGGCGGGGGCCAGCTGGGCCGGTGAGTTCGACTGCAGGGGGTTGGTTGGGAAGGGCAGGGGAGGACAGCGGCCCGGGAGGCTGAGCTGGGCAGTGTGTGTGTGTGTGTGTGTGTGTGTGTGTGTGTGTGTGTTTGTGTGTGTGTGCGTGTGCGCGCGCGTGTGTGTTTGTGTGTGTGTGCGTGTGTGTTTGTGTGTGTGTGTGTGTGTGTGTGTGCGTGTGCCCGCGAGCACTTGGGGGAGGCAGGACCTCTCGGAGAGTTTGGCCCCTATGCGGGGTAGGGATCCTAGCGGACCCCAGCGGCAGCCGGGCAGGAGCAGACTCGATTTACGGGAAGCGGCGGGGGGCGGTGGTGAGAGTGGAGGTGGGGCCGCGGCTGGCCTGGGCTGGGCTGAGGGAAAGAGCCAGCTACAGGTGGAGGGTGGGGAGGCAGGAAGGCCAACTGTACTGGGGGAAATGCCTCCCCGCAGCTTGAGGGTGAATGTCGGAGGAGGCCCTCCATGCCCTTGGCCTTGGGAGGGACCATATTTCCAAGCTCTCCTCTTCTCAAGCCCTGTGACGCCCACCCCCTCCCCCCCAAGCCTAGATCTTCCCCGCCCCAGGTCCTTTCTCCCCTTGTTCTTACTACTGAGAATCACTGCGGTCAACCGGGCCAACAGCCAGAAGGAGGTGATGGAGCCCCAGCTCTGTGCTGGGGGTGGGGGTGTGCCCTGGGGATACTGAGACAAAAGTGAACCAGGGCCTGCCCTCAAGGAGTTCCCATTCCAACAGGGGAGGTAATATGAACATGCGCTTGTATCTATGCAATCAGTACAAGGTGGAGTGGAGGTCTGGGCACCGGCTGCTGGGTCAGAAAAGGCCTCCGGCAGAAGTCAGGATTCAAGCTGAGTGTTGAAGGACAAAGCAGGAGATGAGTGACGTGTGTGAGCAGATAGGGCAACCTGGCCAGTGGAGTCAGGAAGCAGAGTAAAATGTGAAACTGGGGAGACTGGAAGGGGCCGGCAGGTGCTGGATGCCACACAGAATTTTCTAGTTGACCCTAGAGGTAATAGGGAGCTACTAGTGTTTGTGGAGCTGGGGACACTGAACAGCTTGATGGGGGTGGGCAGGAAGACCAGCTTGGAGGAGGCTCACCTTTTCTTTCCTCTGCAGAGCTGGATGAGTCTGGGGGCCTCCGAAGAGGGGTTGATCTGATCCTGGACTGCATCTTGGTCAAGGAGGATGAGCATGGCTGGGGCATCTCTGCCAGCCAGCTGAATGAGGCTCAGGCCACCCTGGTGCTGAAGCAGGTGCCGGTTCTGGACGACGGCACACTGGACAGCTTCACCGACTTCCCAGGGGTCCCTGCGGCCAAGGGAGACACCCCCATTGCTTTGGAGGCCTCTGGTGAGAGCTTTGGGACCCCTGTCCAACCCTGCTCCATGCCTGAATGCCTGTGAGTCTGTCTCCTTAACCCGGTCTGCGCCTCAGGCCTCCCAGCCCTTCCCCCACCTGTGCCTGTCCCAGTAACTGCATCGTGTTATTCCTTTCTCACAGTGGACCAGGTGCAGCTACCTCATGCTGAGGTCTTGCTCCACGCCACTTGCCAGGGGAAGGTGGTGACCTGTGAGCTCACCCTCCTCAAGCAGGCTGGACAAGAGGCCACTTCCCCGGATGTGGCCTATTTCATCAGCACCATTCAGGTGTCCGAGGGAGCGTTCAGTGTCTCCATGGTGATGAAGACCCTCGGAGGGACAGAGAAGGGGGCTCCCTTGCATCCCAAGCTGAACCTGCCCCTGACCCCCCGGGGGACAGTGCTGGCTTCAGGTGAGGATTTCACACCTGCCACCTCCTTCAGGGCCTGTGTGGTCCCCGTCTGTAGGCCAGGGGAAGGCCCTCAATCACAGGATCTCAGCCCAGCCCTGTCAGTGTGGGGTCCCTGCTGTCAGCCAGGCCTTCGGCTAACCCCACCGGTGTTCTGAGCATCTCGAGCTCAGGACCCATCCTGGACCTGCCTCAGGTGGGCTCTGTGCCTTCCTAGCCTGAGGGCTTTCCGCTAGCAGAATCTCAGGTCTCCCTTGGTCAGTGCTCCAGTACGGGGCACAGAGTATGAGGGCCAGTGTCCCCCTTGATCAGACTGGACCAGACCAGCAGGCCACTGTCCCCAGCAGGTCCTCAGAGGAAGGCCAGTGGCTCCTTCAGGCCTCCTTGACTTTATTCTTCTGCAGTACCAGCTCATTTCTCTTTGATCCGAGCCCCTCCCCACCCCCATAGACCTCCCTAGGCAGTGATCCCGGCCTTCCCTCCCCCTCCCCACCCCCAGGGCACACCCAGGCAGGGACCCTGGCCTCCCCCCCCCAGCCCTCCCCGAGGCTGTGGCCCATAGACACTCACAGATCCTTTATCCCTCCTACAGTGGAGTTACAGGTGATGACACAGAAACCGGCCGTGCAGTCTTCGCTTGGGGTCTCTGCCTCCTTGCAGTGCGGCTTCTCCATGGCCCCTGGCTCTGGCCCATTTCATCTTGAATGGAGGCGGCAGCACCAGGGCCAGGGCCAGAGGGTGTATTACTGGGCTGAAGGGCAGGGGCAGGCTCTGCGGGAGGGGGCACGGCTGGAGTCCAGGGAACTGCTGGAGGCTGGGAACGCCTCCCTCACCCTGCCAGGCCTGATCTTGAGGGACGAAGGAACCTACGTTTGCCAAATCTCCACTCCCCAACACCAAGCTCAGCAGATCATTCACCTCAGCATCCTGGGTGAGGTTGGAGCCTGAGGGGCAGCGGGTGGGCTGCAGCTTCCCCTGTCATTCAAGGCCGTGGCCTCTTGACAGCAGACTGGGAAATGCCCTTAGAAAGTGCCGGTTATCAACCCTCCCTCACTTCAGTCCAATTCACTCGCAAGTCATGTCGTCATCTCCCTGATGTTGTGGTCCTCCTCAATATATAGTAACACCTGGGTGCCAGGTAGACCACACCCTTACCTGCCAGTCATTGCTTCCTGGTTTCCCTGCATCCCATCCTAACAGGGAGAAGGCAGCATGGTTCAGTCTCCTCTGATCCCTTCCAGCCTGGGGAGGGCAGATTCCGCGTCCTCAGACCTGTCTCCCCTTGGCTTCTTTCCTTCAGAGACTCCTAAAGTGCGGCTGAACTTGGTGAAGGAGGCCCTGCCCCCCACCCTCTTCTGCACCATCGCTGGCTACTACCCCTTGGATGTGGCTGTGACCTGGAGCCGGGAGGAGCCCGGCGGCGCCCCGGCCCCAACTTCTGGTGCCTACTTCTCCAGCCACCGGCAGAGCAGTGCAGGCACCTACAGCCTCTCCTCCTCTCTAAGGGCAGAGCCTGGCCCCGAGGGAGCCACATACAGATGCCACGTCTCCCACGTCTCTCTGACTGAGCCAATCATTTTGGAGATCTGGGTTGCCCCTCCAGGTACAGGCTTCGTCTCTCCCCTCTCTGGAGATCTGCCTTGCCTGGGGTGCCTTTGGCCATCCTGGGGGCTTTTCATCCTTTCTCTCTTCTCAGCTCTGGCCTGGGTTTCATTCGTCTCCTGTCTCACCTGCTCTGGTTCTCCCTTCAAGGCCTAGGCACACATTGCATAAAGACCAGGCCACCCTGAAGCCTTCTCTCCACAGCTCCCCTCCAGAGATGACGTGGTAAGGGGGTGCTCCAGTGGGCTCTCCCCAACCCACCTTCCTCTCGTCTACAGAAAAAGGAGCATCCGTGGGGTTCTTCATTGCCACTGGCTTATTCTTTCTCACCCTCTTGTTCCTGAGCCTCCGGAGATGCTGAGGGAAGAACCAGAGCCTCCCACTCTGCGTCCTGGTAAGCCTCCAGTGGATCCCCCTCCAGTGACCAAACCCTCTCTCTCACCAACTCCCCCCCCCATTTTGTGCTTGGCCCTCCAGGGCAAGGGCAGCCTCCTCCAGCAGATGTCCAACCCCAGAGGGAGCTCAGCCCCACCCCTCTCTCTGTGGTTTTTCTTCCTAGCCACCCATCTGGACCCCAGGAGTCATGGATTCCAGAACATGAAGTGATTACCAAAGCCACCTAGTCCAAACTAAACCCACAATAGGGCCAGTCTTTGCTCAGAGACCTCGGGTGAGAGGGAACCCACTCCCTCCTAAGAGCCAGCGTGCTCCACGCTGGAACAGCTTTGTTGTCAGCAAGTTCTTCCTTGTACCAAGCCTAGCTTTGGCTTTTCATAGCTTCCTTCAGTCATACCTGGTTCTGCCCTCCAGGGTCACATAAAATGGTCCTACTTTCCCTTACACCTGGTAGTCCTTCAGATACTTGAAGGCAGCTCTCATGTCCCTCCCACCTCCCAAGTTAGCTTCCCAGCTACTGGATGGGCAAGGCCTAGCTAGATAGCATCATCTGATTTGGGTGGCTACCAAGTGTGTCTGGGTTCAACACCCTCTGTTCCTTCAGAGACCCAGGTGTCGCGTAGGGTCCTTCAGCAAAGGCCACTTTCCATCCATATTGAAGAGTGGATCCTTTTTCAGTCAGGGGTCAGATTCAATGGCTTCTGAACTCCCTTCCAAATCTGAAATTCTCTGATCTTCTCTTGGCATCATCTCCAGGCTTTCCCCCATACCAGCTGCCCTCCTCTGGCTCCTTTCTAGCTCATCAATGGCCTTCCTAAAGTGTGGTGCCCAGAATGACCCACAATGTTCCAGGTGAGGTCTGATGAGCCCACCTGGCCTGCTATCTCCCTCATCCTGGATGCTGCCCTGCCCTTAGCGAGTGTAGTCCAAGATGGCATTACATTCTTTGACTGCCATTTCACACAGTTGACTCATATTGAGTTTTCAATCCACTAAAAAGCTCATATTTTTTTCAGATAAATATCCCTTCTCTTGTACTTGTGAAGTTTATTTCTCGTACTCAACTGTAAGACTATGTCGATGCTCATTAGGTTTCATTCAATTCATTTGGATTCAGAACACTGTTAGGGTATGTTCTCTGCATCCTATTCCTAGTATTTACAAAGAACTGATTAGGGAGGGATTCCTAAGAAAGGGCAAAGAAAAGCCACCAGACAGCTAGAAACTGTGAAATCCATACTGAGACCTACCCTGCAGCCAGTGGTGAGAGGAGGGACAGAGCGGGCACTGAATGAAGGTGCCAAGGTCAGGGAGAGCCTGGGGAGAGGACGGGGAACAAGGGATGGGGGAGAGAATGGAGGACACGACTGGAGACCTCTTGTCCCCAAACTCGAATCTCTCTCAATAAAAATGACTGTTTGACCCTACCCTTCTCGGTGTCGCTGTCACATGATGATCTCATCCAAGCCTTTGTAGGGAAGGGACTGGGGTCTAGCCCTTGTTCTTGCCTCCTTTATTCTGATTTTCTGATCATCTCAGCTGAGCCCCACACTCCCAACTGAAGCTTGGATCACAGCTGCCTTGCAAGTGGTTTAAGGTAATAAAGTCTTCGATACTACATCTTGTAATGAAGCCCAAGGTGGCATTGGTTTATTTTTTTATTTTTGGGCACCATAGCACAATGTGGATGCATGTTGAGCTTGCAGTCCACTAAAACCCCCAGATCTTTTTCAAGTTAAACCCTGTCTATCAATGCCTCCTCATCTTCTAGTTGTGAAGTTGGACATTTAAACTCAATTATAAGACTTTCCCTTTCTTTTCATTAAGTTTCATCATATTAGATTTAGCCAAATGTTCTAGAGTGTCAGGATATTTTGGGTTTCAGAATGTTGGCACTCTATTAGCTGTCTGCCCTTACTTTCTGTCATCTAAAAATGCTATCAGCATAACAGCTATGCCTATCCAAATCATTATAAGCTGTTCGGGGTCTTTTGTCAAGCACTGACTATATGCCAGGCACTGTGGACACAGCCACCAAAGTGAGACAGTCCTTGCCTTTCAGAAGCTTAGATTCAAATGGCAAAGCCTACACATAGGGAGGAGTGGGGACAGGGAGGGGTGTTTGGTCTGGGAAGTCACAGAGGTAGGAGTCATTGGGCAGTTGATTGACATGATTGACCTCTCCTTTCCAGAAGCAATGGTGGTGTTGATTTAAGGATTGTTCCCAGAGCCAGAGGTTGTGGGGGTGGGGGTGGAGCAGGCAAGGTGGGTGGCAAGATGGCTGAAATGAAGCATGACCAGGATCTGGAGCTAACTAGACACATTGGCCTACCCCCAATCAGGACAGCATGGTGCCCCTGAGGTGTCTTGGCTCCTTCAGGGCCTGGCCTTGGAGAGCATGACTGAGAACTCTTCTCCCTTGGTGACTTGGAACCACTTGTGACAACTTTTTGAGTCCAGCTATTCAGTCAGATCCAGTTTTCCAATCCCATCCAAGTGTCTCCAGACTTTATTCTCTTGTCCTTGGAAAACCAGAGAAGTACTTGCTCCTTTCCAGTCCTTCCACACCTCTCCAGCTCTCCACAACCTTTCAAGGCCACTCTTGTGTTTAGCAATCCCATTGACTAGTTCCTTCAGCTCATTCAGCCCAGGGTGTTCAGTCCATCTGATTCAGACTCCTTAAAAACAGTTAGATGCTTTCATACCATCTTTATGTTTCTAGGGCTGTCCAGATTACTTAGAACAAGCAGCAATGTTGATATGGGGTCAGTTTGTGACAGCAGTGGTGACATATATTTGCTTCTCCCACTCCAAGCTGACTCAGACCAGGTGAAACTGGATTGGGTTGGTTATTCCTCTTTTATGCTATACACATGTACTTTTAATTTCTGTTGTGTTTTTAATCCTGTGATTTTTTTTTTTTGAAGATTAGGTATTACTTTAGGGAAATGTAGAAATGTTATAGCTCTCAAAGAGCACAGTTCAATTGTCACACTCAAGTTCAAACGATTAAGGATATTTCAGTGTTAGGTGGTGCGTGTGTGTGGGCTCAGGCATTTCATGGATCATCAAAGCCCACAAGCAAAAAGGATAGCACAAAGGAACATGAGGCTAAAAATGAAAAGGACCCACAAGAACAGATGAATTAGTGCTTCAAACCAGCCTGATTAACGCTAGAACAAACAAATGCCCTCAGATAGTGCTGGAACCTGGAGAGGTTGGTGCCGATTCCTTCACAGTGTGGTACAAGCTTCCAGAAGCTGGAGGAAAATGGAGAAGACAAAGAACTGCTAACTGTTGCTATGAAGAAAAACTGTGTGTCACGGTAAGACAACAGAAAGTCTGGAGGACCGAAGAGCGGAAAAAGATCGTTTTACTGATGAAATGTGCACCAAAACTGTTGTCTGGACCTATAACCCGGAGATCGATGTATCACAACCATCCTCTGCTGTGTGTTTTAGGCAGCTAAGGGGTACAGTGGATAGAGCAGAGGACACAGAGTCAGGAAGACCTGAGTTTATGTCTTGCCTTAAATGCTTACTAGCAGTATGACCCTGGACAAGTCACATCAACTTTTCAGCTTCAATTTCCTATAAAATAGGACCATAATAGAAATTGGCTAGTGAAGTTGTTGTGAGAGTCAAATAAACTAACATGTAAAATGGTTTTCTTTGCATACCTTAAAGAGTTTTATAAATGCTAGCTATTTATTTTGCTTATGATTATCATTTTCAGAAGAAGTCTGAGTGAATCTATGAAATATGGGCATTTTACCAAGATAGTAAAACATCCATTTCCAAAAATGTTTAGGGGGATATTTTTTATTTCCAGTGGACTTGGAAGTCTTTTTTCCATCGAGAAAATGTTGATTTCTGATAACTATATGGATCTACTGAGAAGCAGACTTTGGAGATGGAATTCTGCAACATGGACTTGTACCATGATGACCCACCTCATGGGAGGTTAAGAAATTGGTAGAGGTAGATATGCCTCAGTGGTCTGAGAACTTGTCTAATTTAAACCCCATTGAAAACTTGTGGACTCTAATGAGAGGTAGGCTTGGAAAATAGACTCACCATTCACCCAAGAAGTGATCAAAGTTGGGTTTCATGATGAAGAATGGAAGACCCTGTGGCGGTACTGTAGGCCTTCCACGCCAAGCAAGTGACTGATTACATATGAGAAGTTCTTTAGAGATGTAAAAAGTTGTAAGAGTGCAGTTAGTCTAGTCAGTCATTTCACTTTGTCCCAGCTCATTTTCATACCACTGCATTTGGGATTTCGATTTCCAGTTAGCCATTCATGCTCTTTTTTTCCCCTCAACCGGTAGCTCCTTCTCTTTGGAATGGAAAGGAAAAGTAGAGAGGGAGCAGTTCCTTCTTTTCACTTTTAACTGGCTCTATCTCTTGACTCCAGGCACGTCCTCTGGCTGTCTTCCATGTCCAGAACACTCTCTCTCCTCTGTTCTGATTACTGACCTCCCTGGCTTTCTCCATGTTCCAATTAGAATTCCACCTTCTCCAGGAAGCTTTTCCTGATCCTTCTTAATTCCATTGCATCCCTTCTGCTAATTATTTCCAATTTATCCTGTAGATAGGCTTGTTTTGTACATATTTGTTTGTGTGTTGTCTTCTCCCTTAGATTGTAAGCTCCTTGAGGGCAGGGACTAGGTCTTTTACTCCTTTTTGTATCTCTAGCACTTAACACAGTGTCTGGCACATAGCAAATGCTTAATCAATGTTTATTGATTGAATTCTTACTATGGTTCCAAGCACATCTTGATTGTAGTCCTGCCACTTATTTGATCTATCTCTCTCTGTCTCTGTCTCTCTCATTTTCTTTTTTCCTCCAACATAATTTAAAAAACATGACTATTTCTTGTCCATAGCTTTCTTCACCAGCCTCAACTCATTTGGTGCTTTTGCACTCCTGACACCATCAGTCAATAAACATTTAAAGTGTCTGCTATGTGCCAGTGCCAGGGACTCTGCTCTCACAATGGTGCCACATTGTGAGTGTGTATGTTGTGCATTCATGCTTGAGTGCCTTTCCTTCCATTCTCTGTATGTGTCTTAAAACCTACATTAGTTGGTGATGGCCGTATGCATGCACATCCATTTCTATAGATGATTTCATTCCTTTCCCTCAACCTTTGAAAATGACTCTTCTAAAATCCAGGGAGCATAAAAACTATGTTTAGCATCTCTCTTCTTCTCTTTCACAAATTCTAAAGTGGAATCATCACTTCCCAGCAAGGTTCTTACCATTTCTGCCCCAGAAATCACTTCCTTCTTGTTGGTTAGATTCAGTACCATAATTAGAGTTTCCCTGTTTGGAAGGAACCTCTGTTCGAAGGATGAGATAATTAGCCATCTATTCAGAAAACTATTTCTTATTCTACTTTGGGTGGAGACCTAGAAGATGCCTAGACCATTGAAGCCCCTTTCATTACTGTACCGTTGCTTCAAGCTAGGATTGTGGCATGTTTCACAAATTCCTTATCTCTTTCTTCTCTCTGACCAGGTGGGCTGTAGCATATTCTGATGACAGCCTTGCTTCTGTTTCTGCCTCCCTTGATTTTTCCCTGAATGCTTTGCACTGTGCTCCTTTTCTCTATCTCCTGGATTTGATCATATGAGTATACCTTCTTAATATACAGTGCTGTCCCATCAGCACTCAGCCCTCCTGACCTTTTTCTTTTGAGGAAGGCATACCCTTCCAGAGCCACATTCTAGTCATGATCTCATTCCACCAAAACACAGTAATACCTACTGGATGAAGTCATATTTGCTGCCTTCCATATAGATATCTGATGCACTTACGCTCTGTACATTTCTAGATGAAGGAGGCCATTTGGGTGTTTTTGCTGGTTCTTTTTTAAGATTTTGCGCTCTATAAATTTTGGAGTATCTTGCAGCTCTTCTTTATGGTATTTGGATATGTGTGTGTGTGTGTGTGTCCATAGGTAGTTTCCTGTTCAGTTAAAGACTTTTAAATTAGACTTGTAAGGTGCTACATAAATCTATTCTTACCAGCCCTTCTTAGGGGCACTACTTCCCTGGCCAGGAGGCTGCCCTGCCTATGTTTTTTTAAATTAATTTATTCTGAATTATCAACAATCACTTCCATAAGGTTTTGAGTTTTAAATTTTTCTCCGCCTCCCTCCCCATCTCCCTCCCCAAGACAGCGCACAATCTGATATAGGCTATACATACACATTCCTATTAAACATATTTTCACATTAGTGATGTTGTAAGTAAGAATTAGAACCAATAGGAGGAACCACCAGAAAGAGGAAATAAAACTCAACAAAAGAGAAAAAAATAGCAAATAGTATCATGCCTATGTTTTAAACCAGTTCTCAGACACCGTCTTCTTGCCTTTGATTGGCCATAGTAACATAAACATCACCCCTAAGTTCTTTTGT